GCGATGCGGGAGTGGCGCCCGACCTCCACGAGGTCCTCGCCGAAGGCCACGGCCCCCTGCTCGCAAGCCGCCTGCCAGCGCCCTGACCCTGCCCGTAGACCATTGTACTCGTGCACTGGGACCGCGGACGACAGGCGAAAAGGCGCGCGGCGAAATAATAAAAAAATCTTGGAATTGTTCTTCTGATTCTGTTTTTGACGCTTAAAAGGCCGTAGTTTTTTGCGGATTTGCTTGGAAAGCGCCCGCCTCTCAGTCGCATCTCGTGATGACTTTTAGTGATTTTCTCTGCTGCAAAAGATGTTGAAAATCGTCATGTTCCCACGGTTCAACAAGTTTCGAGCGTTTACACTTCATGGACGAAATGGCTGCGGAATGCACCAAACGTTCAAGCTCCGTGATGGTGTTGGGTTGTTGGTTGGACAACCGCATCTGCAAACTGGCATGACATTGCTGTTGATTGTGTGGCATCCAACCACGGGGCACACTCAATGGTTTCCAAAACCTTTTGAAAAAAACGTGCTCGCAAGCATAAACTGCAATTGACTGCACGATGATCCGACCCCAAATCGAGCACGTCAACTGGTCCAGCGGTTTCACAGCATAATTCGGAGCTGATCAGGATGAAATCGATCTGTCGCTTGATGCCCGTCGAACTGCGAAATGTCCAGCTCTCTGGCAGCTGCTCGAACATATGGGAGAATTCCCGAATCATGTCACCGCGCAGTCCTACATTCCATTGCGTATTGAAATCGCCACCAATCACGACAGCATACTTCTTCTTTTGTGCATCGGCCGAAATCCAGTGAAGCTGATCATACACGTTGCACAAATCATCATGTGGATATCCTGCATGTGGCATGTAAACGGAAATCAATCTGCATAGGCGGGTCCCAAATTGTACATCGAGGAACATCAAGCGGTCACTGATTGCATGTACTCGAGTCATACCATGCAGTAAACGTCGGTTCACAAGAATGGCAACACCCGCAGCAACTGTTTGTTGCGATGATGAGTAAAGCTTGTGACCACCTGCAAGTTGGCAATGGTCGGAGTTCCGACGCGTTTCGCTGAATAGCACGACATCCCATTGACAATGGTTCAACTCGCCCGAAGCCTCTGCAAGTCTGTCATCTGTGTGTAGCCTCGCATTTTTGCAATAAACAGAAAATCTTGAATTCACACGCTCTGAGCATGGAAAACGTGTTGTCGACTTAGCCACCTCGGGAACAGGTTTATGACCTGCAGTGTGCGACAGTGGTGAAGCTCTCGGACTCGGACGGAGCTGTCCCTAGGACGACGTTTCCATCTGCGCGGCACAAGAATGCTTGCTCTTGCCGGATCCTTTGGAAACCGTGTTTTGCTGCAACTTGTCATTGGCACGTTGGATCAATCGCTTCAGCTCACTGCTGTTCTGCAAGTCATCCCATTGCGCCCATTCCGGGCCGGTCCACCGAAGTTCTGAATTTTGCAAACAGCAGCCCTTGAAACACTTGTGACTTCATGTACGTGCCAATGTGCGATGGGCTTTGCAATGCGCTCAGCTTAGTTGTCAGCCATGTTGTGGCATCCGGCAGTGACGGCAAAGCATCTAAGCCTCCAATCACCATAGTTCGCATGTAGTCCTGCTGGGCGCTTCCGATGTTCGCAAGGCGGCCACTTGCGATTGCAAACCGTTGATTTGATTTTCCGGCTGAGCACTGCGCTCCAATACATGCGATCGAGGTGTGCCTTCGGCATGCATCACAAGCTGCTCCAATTTATCAATTCGCAAACTCTGTTCACCAACCGTGCTTTCAATCTTGTCAGTATCTTGTCAATGCGCTCGTCCAAGATGTTGTGAATGTGGCTCAACTTCTGTTCGACAGGGGCCAATCCCCTTTCATCGATCCATCATCATGCGTTTCATCATCCATCTCGTGCAGAGGGGAGCGAGCCGGTCTTTTCACGGATCTCGTAGGCGGCGTCATCCCTGCTTCCATGGCCATCACACTTGGCGCAGACGTCCCTAGCCTCTTTGTGAGGCAATCAACCCGTGAGGCCTGTTGGGGCACTTGAGCCTTGAGCCAAATGGCTACGGGCGACGACGCGACTCGGCAAAGGCACGGGCAGCACCGGCGAAACAATGCATGAACTTCTTGCCATTCCAGCGGAGCGACCTGCGCAATCCTGCGCAGTGAGGCGAAGTGCTTTGCCGGCACAAGGCGCGGGCCAACAGACAAAGGAGGACGTGAAGGCGAAATAAGTATTTCGTCGAGCACGCCTCTCGCGGGCTTGCGTTTTTGCCGTCAGTCCGAGCTTTTTTTTTGCAGCCACCACACGCTCTCTTGCTGCCACGCTTTGTTCGCTCCTCGTGACTGCCGAACCCCGGCTGGTACTTTGCGCAGATTGAGCTTCCGCGGTGTATTTTCAAAGTGCTGCAAATCCGACGACATTAACATCGCCGTGGGGTGACGATATGGAATCTTGAACATGATGGCGGAGCAAACATGCATAGAAACAGTCAAGCCAAGTCATGTCAACCCCGAGAGCGATCTTCATCGATCCTGCGCTTGTGGCTTGCAGCTCTTGCAGGCTTTAGCTCGCGAGCAGCACAGCTGTTGCAGATGTGTCGTTTGGCATGTGACAAACATGCACACGCAGCGGTAGACTCATGCAGGCTGTTTGTAAATGCCAATTGCCCGCAAAAACTAAGCAGACCTCGGTGTGACGGTCGAAGGGGTGTTGTGTGTGGCAATGGACTTGGTGGCATCGATGGTGACACGGAAACAATGCGGCATATGGTGTGGTGTTTGGGGCAGGCGCGGTGTTGGTGTCTGGCCCAAAGGCTGGACAGCATCTTCAAAATGAGGTGAGCGTCGCACATTGGCTTTCCTTTTGGCTGGAGACCTGATGGACTCGCATGGGTGATTGGTTTTAGTGGCAGTTGTATTTGCCTAGGTTGCAGCTGCCCGCGGCCCGAGCAGAACAAGCTTTGCAGGAATGGTGCGTCAGAAACGTGTTTCATGAGTATTACAACACGAGCTGGTCTCAGTCGTGTGCCAGGAGACCTTGACGCTTCCGCTGCAAGAGTGACCCGCGAGAGTACTTGGAAGTAGTGTTCTTATCCAAAAGACACCGCAAAGTCGTTTTACAATCATGTTACATGTTCTTTTTCTTGTTCCAGATGCATGCGCAGCTGGCAGACTGTTCCTCGGGGACTAATTCGCGTCGGTGTGAGGACATATGCGCCCAGCAGCATGCGCGGAACTTCACCGCCATTCATCAAAACATCACTCGGTTAAGCGCCTACAATCCATGGGGTGGTCTCAGGCGGCTGAACGGATGCGGCTCCAACTTGAAAATGGGATGTAAAGCCGTACTTCTGCAAGAAGGTCGATGTCAGCGTGGTCGACGCCGCCCGCCTCCGTGGCCGGTCAAATGCAGTAAAAACATGGGTAAATCATTATACAAAGTTGTAACGCACGCCTTGGTTCGGCGTCCAGCACCCCACCGGCCGCCAAGGCCACCAGAAGAAAGGAAAAAGGCACTCTTGAGATGAGGCCGAAGCAGAACCACGCGTGTAAGCTGGCTGACACCAGCCACCACCAGCAGGAAAGCATTCTTTAGATGAGGCCGAAGCCTGCCCCAGAGCCCAAAGAGCCCCACCAGTAGCCGCAGCTACCAGCGGGAGAGTCGTCATGGCAATGCCTTAGCATGTCCGTGCCACTGCCGCCACAGAGAGCGGCAAGCGTTGGCCAACACAAGCAGTGTTGCTGGAAGAGGGCCGGCTGTGTGCCTCGGTTAAAGGCTATAAGCTGCACGTTGCATTGAAGCTTTCTGACAGGAGCAACAAACAGTAGCAGTTCCAAAGTAAGAGAAAGCCAACCACAAAACAACTAGACCATCACCAAGACAGTCAATATCCAAAAGCAAAAACAAAAACCAAATAACGCATAAAACAAGCACAACACAACGCCCAACGGCAGAGAGGGGGCCCTGCAGCAACCTTACATTCCCGCTTGTACTGACCTCACGGGCGAAAAGCTGGATTGACAAGCTGTGACATCGGGTTGATGCTGTTGTTATAATGCTACCTACCACCATGGACCATGCACGTACATCGGGTAGTTTCAGAGAATCCGTAAATAAATAAGCCACTCGCGCAAGAGGCGACTCGTGTGAAAAAAAACACCCCCTCACTCAATCCCTCTCTCCCTCTCTCCCTTTCTCCCTGTCCCTCTCTCCCTTTCTCCCTCTGCCCCTCCCCCTCCCCCTCCCGCTCCCCCCGTCTCTCTCCTTCTCCCTTTCCCTTCCTCTAATTCCCTCTCCCTCCCTCTCCCGCCCTCTCATCCCCCCAAGCCTGCAACAGAGGGTCCTCCCTCGGCGTGCCCCGTGCTTCGGTCTGTGCTTTGTCGGTGTGACATTGTTTGCCGCAGACCTTGGATCGACAGTGCTGCGCTCCTGTGCGAAGCTTCATTGGACAACGTGGTCACATTCATGAAAAATGTGTTTCACACAAGATAACACATTGAGAATACTTCACACCATAACTTCGCAAGCTCCAGAAGCTTGTCAGGTACATCTCTCTGTACGAGCGGCCAACGCAGAACGGTCATAGCCATCTACCGTGCGCTGCGGATATGTCTGTTTGGTCTCGGGCATCCTGCATGCAAGTGGGTTTGACCAGGCTGCGCGTCAGTGAGTACTATGGCACCGTTTCCATGGGTAGCCCACCCCAGGACTTAGCATTGTCGTCAGCTCATTGAACAGTGTGAAATAGTGTGAATGCTTGGTAGAACACGGTGAAGGATTTTGACGTGGTATTCGACACCGGCTCCGGTAACATCGCCACCTCCTCAGCTGCATTGACAGGGGTTGGGATGATGGGATGGAAAAAGCTTGAGATGCATAGGTGCTGCCAACACTCAAGTGCATTGACGAGGCATGTGACGCGACAAAAATTCACCCGGTGGTACTGGAAGCAGTGCACACTATGGGCCAGGCATGTGAAGACCATCACCGCTTTTCGAGCGGCGCTTCTCGCAACACCCTTGGTGGTCCTGGTGTCAAAGTATTGAATATCAGGATTAGTATGGCTTCAGTCACTTCTGGTCTAGATGCAGGAACATGGCAGCAAAGCAGACAGTAGCAGTGTGCACTTTCATTTGAAGAACGACATTTCTTCGCGCGACTTTGGCTCATCCGAGAAATGTGTTTGCGTGTGTTTGTATGTGTGTGTGCGTGCACGGAGACGATGGCAGCACTCAACAACTTGTTTTTGGATCCCGCGGTATGTTCATGCGTCTGGCTGACACCTCAACTCGCATGAACTGTACCACAGTAGGTAAGTACTTACGCAAGAAAACGCGGCCACTTGTCCTGCATGCGCGATGCACCTCGCTCGACAAGATGCCTTGGCACCTTATTCTGGAGGAAGGTCCCGTCCCAAAACCCGTGGCTATGTGACAGTTCGTGAACCTGCCAAAGGATTCTTCATAGCAGGTTCGAACATCGATGACATGAATGGAATATATGCTGCCATCCGACCGGACAATCTCAAAATCCGACGACAGGTACAGGTGGCATATCGCAATGACAGTAGTGGTTGGACCATGGCACTCGTGAAAGCACCACCACAGACGGCGAACCTTCGGCGTCGCCGACACTTGGACAAATCTCGCCTCCCTGCAGGAGTTCTGCCAGATTCCTCAGATTCAGACGATGCCTACAGCGAGAAGTTCGAGTGGATCTTCATGGATCCTGTAGGCCGTGAGAGATTCGCCCACAAGGGTGACACCATCATTCCAGGAGCAGGCCTACGATGGTGGCACATTCATCGGGAGGTCAGCAGCTCGAAGGTGGACAACAATCTTCCTCAGCTTTACTGGCACGAGTGTTTGGAAGACAATGCAGACTTCGAGACGGCAGATGAGTTGGAAGAGTCATTGAAGATCACCCCTGCTGTGGACACACATGTTAGTCACCAGGTGCCCCCGAGCGAATGCAGGGCGATCATGGAGCCGGTGAAAGACGACGAGGATGAGCTCCCTTGGCAAGTGATCGCCGTCTTGGATGGCAGCGTCATCCGAGACCTGCGTTACAGCTACCGGCGCTATGAAAGGACGGTGGCCGCAGCCAGGGCCGGTACGAACCTTCCAAAGCCAGCTCCCCACACACTGGAGTATTGTTGCCAACAACCGCGCTGCTGGGTCTACAGGGTCGTTGCGCCTGGAGGCTGAAGACAGTCCAAAGTCCAAACTCCCAATTCGAAACCAAAATGCTCGTAACAGTAGCGGTCGGCCCATTCTCCATCATCCAGGCAAGCGGCCATAGCATCAAAGTAATCCTTGAGGGATGCCCGTCGATGGGTCTCATTGACGCTCTGTGCAGGTGTCATCCTGAGAACGCAGCCCAGGAGTTCCGCAAAATCATGTGGGGAGCGAGGATGTGGTCAATATGTGTGCGGCGCAGAAATTGAGGGCTGCTGGCTCCACCTCGCACAATCACGTCGGTTGACAGAGAGTGATTCGGAGGAGCAAGCAGTTGATCAGTGGGTTTGCTTGGAGAAGGACGGAAAAGCCTTGTTGGAAGCAGTTCGGGACTCCGATGTGGGTTGCTTGAAGGCACCGGTGGAGAATGACCCGCAGGCGGAGAAGTTCGATCGGCCTTTTGAGCCTCGCTTGCAAGCGCCCGACTACCAGGCTCCAAGTGATGGTGGGCTGGGACCTGATGTGGACATGAAGGGCTTCGAAGAAAAGGACGAGCATTCGCCTAAAGTCCTGGAGGAGCCCACCGAGCTGGTCGTTGGTGGCATGTGCATCTTACAGGGCCTCACAGAATCCAGCAAGAATGGCCAGCCTTGCATCATCTGCAAGCTGCCTCGTGACGATGGCCGCTGTTTGGTGCAACTCTCCGATGGCCCTCAGATCAAGTTGGCAGTCAAGCCCTCAAACCTGAGGGCCATCAGAGGACCGAAGGAATCCGAACAGAGTTATTGTGCCAGAATCCTCGGATTGGCTCCATGCACTTTGGGGCTGATGGGAGCCCCCTCAGAGAGTGCAGCTTGTTTGCAGAGCCAGAAGCCTGGAGAAATCTTGTCAGCAGCTTTACGAGCGGCCCAACGTGATCTTCCAGATGCACCAGATGCGCTCCTCGAGTCGCAAGAAGCTTACGAGAAGCTGATGCTGGATTTCGCGTCAGTTGACAGTATGTCTCCATCGGGACCCTTTCCTCCGCATGTACTTGTAGAGAATGGTTTGCTTGGCACAAGAGCAGCTCATGCTGCTGCAAATGCTGCAAGCCAACAGTCCATGAAGAGCTCTGAGGCGGGGATAGCTGCTTTACGACAGGTTCTAAGTGACGAGCAGCGTCGCTTGGCTCGTGAAGCCGGGCTTGCATGGCCTTTGCCCGCAGCATGCAAGTCTCCCTCGGAGGGCTCGGATGCATTGCGTTTGCGACTTACATTGGTCAGGGCATTGCTGTGTAGCAGGCAAGAAGCACAAGCTGCCTTAGAGGCCGAGGCGTGCGTCCGTCGGCACCCGCATGGTGCAGCCAGCCTTCTTTGGGCAGGACGATGCTTGCTTCGCATAGGTCGGCGCGAGCATGGCAAGAAATATTTGTCGATGGCGGAGCAATCTGGTGGGTCAGGGGCAGACGGGAGTTGGGGACTCCAAGGTGCCACCATGCGACTGCAGGCGCTTGCAAAGGTCGAGCGCTGCAAGCTGGCAGCAGAGGATGCCTACGGCTATGGTGACTTCCAAACAGCTGCTGCGCGGTACGGGGAGGCCATCATACAGAGCCCCACTGATGACAAGTGGGGCCGAGCCATGCTACATGCAGCCAGGGCTGCCTGCCATCGTCGTGCGCGAGAGTTCCGTCAGGCCGTGGATGACTGCGATGCAGCGCTGGCGCTCTTCCCGAACTATGCTAGGGCGCTGTTCCGGCGCGCGGCCTGCTTGATCGAGGCAGGTCGCCCTTCCGAAGCAGTAAAATCACTTGAAGGACTTCTCAGGGTTGACAGGTCGTGGCCGAACCTTTGCGACTGGCTGGTTCGCGCACATGCTCTGGCCAAGCGGCTTGATAACAAGGACACGTTCAAGGCATCATGGAAACGAGGCCGACGTTCCCGGGAGACTGCAGAAACTGCAGGCACACCTGAGGTAGGTTCCGACCTCTATGCCATTCTCGGCGTCTCTGCTGATGCTACAGACCAGCAGTTGAAACGTGCGTACAGACTCATGAGTTTGAAATACCACCCAGACAAGCAGGGCGGTTCCACAAGGGACTTCCAAAGGATCGCCACTGCCTACGAGACCTTGTCCGATCCTGCCAAGCGCCACGCCTACGACGAAGGGGCGGACCTGAAGAAGCCAGACGATGACAGCGAGGAGTCCGAGCGTGAAGAAAAGTCATTGCGCGAGGAGGTGGAGCGGACTCTCGGCAGCAAAGGTGATACAAGTGGTGATAACTGACATGATTGACATGGGTAGTGAGTTCACCTTTTCCTGGGGTAGTTGCCAACGTGCGACAGGGCAGCGGCTATTGGGTGCGTTGTCCTTCGTGGGTCATTGCAAGTAGCACGCACCAAATCCGTCTTGCACACCACAGGAAGTATTTTCCGGAGCGGTTCAAGTCCGGGGCTCAGGACGTGGAACACGCCTAGACACAAGACAACGAACTCCTCGTACCCCCAGTGCTTTGGTGCAAGGTACTGGCCATTCGGTGATCCATTCATTGAGAAGCGCAAGTTGCTTGCCCAGCGGAAGCGGGATGCAGAGAGGAAGCCCCTTGTCTTGCATGTGTACGGCATGGACCGAGGTGGTTAAAGAAAGCACTGTCATCGCTGAGGTCTCGGCCGACACCAGACCGAGACGATGATTGGTAGATTGGTTCCTGTCTGTGGCACCAGTCGACTCACTGTAAACTGAGTGTTTGCAAACTGTTTCATTTGCTAGAGTTCAAGCAGCCACAGCAATTGGCTGCTTGGTTGTCCTCGTTTCCTCATTCTCACCAATTGTGGATGGATGCTGGTGGCACAACGTCCCTGGCCCTACATACACCTTGGGCTTCTTTGGTGACGAAAAAGCTGTGCCTGAAATTTTGCCCTGATTGCGGTTGATGTGCTCCGGCAAAGGATAAGGAACATTCCTCGTAAGGAATGAACCTGTGAGGCACGGCTCGCCAGTTGGCTTTGGAAGACGGCACACCCCTGCGTCCTGGCGACGTCCGGAACTCAGAGCCGCTGGCAACTGGCAGCTTACCAATCCTCAGCATTTACCATCCGCTCGCCGTGGGTAAGTGCACTCCGAGGAACGAGACACCACGACAATAACCTATGGCAGCACACCTGGAAGGGACATGAACAGATGAGATGAGAGCAGGGCGATAAAGACTTTTGAATGCATTGCTTGCATTCGACAGGCACTGGAAAATTGACCGGTGAGTACATCCGGGACATGCTGTGCTTGCGCAAAGGCGGAGTTTTTGGGTTGATTGCTCGTCGCACTCCGAGCTGGTTGTCACACCCGCCACTCATCTCCGCAGCTGGCCGTCAGGTCGAGGGGCGGCTGTGGCTGAGAGCTCTCTTTGTGCGGGGCTTGGAGATTGAAAGATTCATCTCAGGTTTGTCTGTGCCTCGTCCTGGTACCGAGGCCTTCAAGTCGACTTCCTGGGGGTGACACAGGAAATGCATCGGTTCGGTTGCGCGGGTTGCGTGATGGGCTCGACCGGTGCCAGTTAATTTACACCACGCTTCACGGCCGCGTGTCGTTTGCCGGTGTTCTCCGGCTTTAGGTCTGTGCATTCTCGTTTTGCAGCATGCCGTCTCAACAACAGCAGCAAAGCCTGAATTGCGAAGTTGGAACCCTGAAAGAAGTCTATAGAGTCTAGATCGATTTATTACGGGGAGGACATGCCTGCTACAGGAGTCCAGGTTTCCATTCACGGAGCTGCCTTTTGATGGCATCTTCGGCTTGGGATTGGGAGGACTCTCCGTGCTACGCTCGGTCGACCCTTTCCTGGCAATGTTTGCAGAACGCTTTTGAAAAGGCTGGGCCTTCGTTCAACTTCGTGAACAGCTTGGTGGCGGGCTGCCAGCATGGGTCGGTGCCTTTCCCATGGTGTCCTGATGCATCGCGCTGAAGGCTGCGCCGCAGACAGTCCGGAATCCCACGTTTGCTTTTTTTCTGCGGAATTTGGATGTGCGGGGCCTAGCGATTCGATGTTGCTCTGATGACCAGTGTTGACCGTAGCAAGGCCGAGGAAGACAGCGAGATCACCTTCGGAGGGTCCTACCGGCAAGCTTGCCATGACAAACGAAGTCAAGCACGTTTTGCAGGTATCGCAGGGACCGCTTAGAAGGAGAGGTAACGTGGCTGCCGGTGCTCGGCCGAGTTTCAATTTCCATCAGCTGCCAGTGCTGGCCGGCTGCAAGCCTATGAAGACGTTTGGTTGGCCACAGGTCCCAAAACAAGAGGCAGACGAAAAAGGCTACTGGCTTGTCCTACACTCACTGACAGGGTTGGAAGCAAGTGCATCCATCAGCCCTTCTTTCCATTGACAGCTGAGGTGGCAATGCGCGACATTTATGAGCTGGCCTCAGCGAACCTGCGTTGTATCGTTTGCTCCTTGACTAGCAGGTAATAGGATATGGAGTTTGTGCATGTGGATGAAACTGGGACGAATTTGACTGAGACGGAGCTTGCAAGCTTTGCTTCAGTCTGATCTGATGTTGTGGACTGGTGATTTGGGAGCGGGCTGCCGACTGCAAGAAATGCATTATGACAGCCTTTCTGGCGGATTGGTTCTGCAGATGCATGCAAGAAAATTGGTTTAGGGATGCTGCCTTGAAATGGGATGACCTTCGACACGTTCTGACTGGAATTTGAGTCGTTTTGACTGGCATGGACTCTTGCAAGTTTTCTACGAGTTACATCTCCCGGCGTGCTGAATGCAAAGGTCGCGAAGGGAATGGGTTTTACTACAGCATGGTATGCCTTAGTGCGTATGAGAACCGGGTTGCACTAAGGGCTCAGCGGCCTTTTTTGAAGACCAAACAAGCAATTAAGTCCTTTTGGGTATAGGTTCGGTCGTCTATGAGTAGGGCTGTTGTCATTCGTGCTTTCCTTATAGGCTGGCTATTGTGGTTGTGCTTGTATTCCAGCCCGGTTTGATACCCTTGCGTGCGGCCGAACCAGCCTTTGCATGGATGATGCTCTTGGCACATCTTCTGTGTCTTGATGTCTTGCCCGTTTGTTTGCAGACCTTGCCTGGATTCATCCGAGTGAAAGCATCAACAAATTAGGATAGAGCGAAGTTTAATCCTCGAGCCTTTAACTACCGCATTTGGAATGCAAGTGATGGCGGCTGTCCGCGGAAAGCGCCGCCCCGACTTCCCTTTGTGAACATGACGACGTTTTTCCTCGGCTTGCTCCAAAAGCATACATGGTCAGGCTCTGATGCTGCCTCGACATTCCGACCTCAGCTCAAGCTTCGGGGTTTCCTGCACAACCCTTGGATCCGACGAGTACGGGCAAGCATGTGATCCGGATTTTTCGCAAGTGTGTGGCGTATTTCTCCCCCCACAGACGTTGCTGCGGGCCGCAGGCTGCCGGTCTGTTGAAGTCTCGTCGAAATGAACTGACTCAGGACAGCCTCTATGCAGGCTGCCCAAAATGATTGGCCAAACTCGTCGCTGAATTCAAAAGGTGAAAGCTGCTCAACACTGCTCAACACCTGAAGCTTGGCTGGATCCCACAACGCCATCGCCTCCTCGGCTGATTTTTGGTTGTGGACGACTCTGGGGCCCAAGTGCGTGTCTGGCTTAAGAGCGACATTTCTCCCGGAGTCACCCCGAGACGTCCTTGGAAGAAGTCGTTACGTCTTTACGTATGATGTCACAAGACCCAACTCGTCAAAGCCATTCCAGCGGTTGCGAATCATTCTGGATGCTTGCTGCTCAGCTGGGTACGTGCCTTCGTCCCTCCAGCATAAGCCACGCAATAGTTCAATAGTTCGGTGATGTTGGGTGCCGTCGTGATGCTAGCTGGCCGAACAAGATCTGAGGCTGTCGTTGTTCCGAAGCAACGAGGAATCAGCAGGGGAAGCTTCATTGCACCCACGGCAGACAAACCACAGCCGATGTGTGACCTCCAGATCCCAAAGTCTCTTGAACTCAGGTTTGAATATGCTTGAATGCCGCAGGATAGTTTATCTCAACGGGGCTGATATTTCAAGCGGTTGCTGAAGTGGACCTAATTGGCCTAATTGTGCCTTTTTGCAGATAGAGAAGTTGGCCCTTCTCAAGGACCAGCTGGAGATGGAAGACTGAATGGCAGGTTGAGTGGTAATTGGTTCAATTGGCGCAAGAGTTTTCGCAGGGGCTCTTGAAATTGGGTTAGCAGATGAGTTCGATGGCACATTTTTCGGCGTAGGCACGAAGTGCTACTAAATAAAGATCTCGAAGCTTGCTGCAATAAGCGAGAGCTTGCACGATTTCTCCTGTCCTTGAGCTGCTGCGCAGATTTCCCGAAGCTCGGCCCTGGTGCTGCATCCAGGTGGAAGACAAAGCGCTTAATTTGTGCACTGCTGCTGGGTGCCAGGCAGGGTGTCGAGCATTGTCTTCCGCCTTGCTTGGCCATGCAACTTGAAAAAGGTAGCCATGGACACTGGGACAGCTCTGATGATGGGTCCCCGACGTGCAGCTGGAGCCTTCGCTCCGAATGTTATAGTCGTTGTTGCAGCGCTGGAGCCGGAAGCACAGGTCGGGCAGCTGCTCACTGCTTTGGGAGACTGCAAACAGCCGGTGCCCAACGAGCTGTTCGGGAGTCGTCTTGGAGATTCTCGTTGCGAGTGTAACGTGGTTAGTTGTTGCTGAGCGGTCCAGGAATCGTGTCACGCAAGTTGGTGGAAGGCATATCGTCCAAGAACAGCTTCACTCCAAGGTTGGTTTCAGGGTATAGAGGACCGTAGATGCAGACCGGCGCTTCTACCGCTGCAGACTACTCGTTTAGCAACACTTCAGCATGTAGTAACACCTCGTCGCTGAACTCCCATGGTTTCCGGCGGATGGAGCGATTGGTGTCTGGGTGTCGGCCCAGGCCTGTTGCTGTGTCTCCCACGGCCATGCTCAATGTGACAGTTTCGCCAGGCGAGCTGCTGGCACACCCGGGAGTTTGTTAGCAGTCCCAGTGCTCCTTGCCGCCGGAACCTCAGCTTTCTTGAGGGCTGGAGCATGCGGGAGCCCTATGCAGTGACCTGTGTAATCTTCGTCCAAGCCAGGCTTGGGCAGTTTGCACACGAACCTTTGCTGCCACCGGGGCGCTGCGACCGTCTCAGCGGCAATCGGAGGCCGTACAGCGATCGCGACGGGTTGGCAGCTTTTAATTTGCCGAGGCTCAAAGATTTACAAGCGGTGTACTGCATTCGGCGGCGGCGGCGTGCAGAGCTTGACAAGGCCCTAGGCCGTCTGAGCCTTCCTGATCACGTCAGCTTTTATAACATAGCAACCTTTTTTTTTAACATTTGATTTGAATGTGTTGCATGGCATGTCCTTGCTGCATTAAAGCTTCCCGCCGCCGAGGTTCCCATCCGCCAGTGGGAGGCCGTGGACGGCTTCAACTTGCAGGCACGTGTGTGAAATCTCGTGCACTTTCACAGTGAGTCGAGCTGGTGAGGATGACATCCTAGAAATCGTGGACTCTGGAGTAGTGGAGCCTGCAGCCTTGCCACGACTCTTGGCTTTTCAGAGAGGCTTTGGATTTCAGTCGTTGCATAGCTGCTTGGAATGGATGGGGACGAGGTATCCTCGTAAAGGAAGATTGGCGCAAGATGTGGCGCGAGACCAGAAGATGGCGCCATGTGCGTAGGAGCAGAGAGGCCCCAGGAAAGAAGCATGGAGGCGACTGCACAGGTCTTCATCGGTCCTTGCTATTGGTGGCATCATGGAAGGCTGGCTCAGGCAGCTGGACCTAACGCGAGGCAGCTTGGGACAGGGACTTTCGCAACTGCAGGCACACACAGGCAAAATGGGTCGCATCTCCCTGTGACTGCCATTGCTGCAGCTCCTCGAGGTTTGGGCAGACATCGAGCGAGAGGCCAAAAGCCCCGACGCCGTCTATTTGGTCGTTGAGGCGAGGTTGCAGGGTTGCTCCAAGTTGCTCCGGTCTGCATGGTCGGAGACGGGAGCATCGGGAGCCCAGGAGACCTGCATGTTCCTTCCCAACTTGGATGCGCGACTGCCTGAAGCCTAGGCCAACAATCGAGAGATACATTCTCCCGGCGTCGGAGTTTACATATGTGAAGGGGATACTTACAGCGTAGTGTGCACAGTGCCAGAGGCTCGAAGAGCGGTTGCAAAGCCTGCCGGATGATTGGGAGATCGCATGTCTGGCCGGGACGGATCTCCTGGGCAACAACCCCGACACGGCAGCCTGTCGTTATCCGTCGTTACGACGTAGACCGAAGTGCTCCTGGGCAAAGGCCTTCCCGACACAAGCTAAGGATCTCGAGCAAGTGCAAGCGCACAACGTCGCACCTGGCTTAAAGCGCCTTCACCCGTGGTGCCTTGGCAGAGACAAGTATCCTCCTTTGCGGCTTGAAGGAGCAGGGGCCTTGTTTAAGGGCGTCGGGGTTCATCCTTTCTCAGGTGACAAGTATTGCATGTACCGTGAACTGATGAACTGCCCAGGTTTCGAATCGGTCCAGCGTACTTCATCACGGCGGCCGGTGCCAGAAAAGCGTTGAGGACCACTGTGGGACGGCAGGGCACAGAAAGAGCAGGCAGACAGCTACGAGGCCTGTTCATTGTGTAACCAGATCTCCATCGCCTATGCTGCATGCTCCCCTCAGGACATGCACGCCATTGCGGTGGCGCTTGGACTGCCAACTTGTGGGACGTTTTGCCTCGACGCATTTCGGAGAGGATGCCTTCCTTGACATCATGCAAGACAAACAACCAAGCGGTTGCTCAGAAACGGGCTGGTAAGAAGCAGGATCATTCGCCTATATTTGCTTCGTGAGGCTGGGGTTGTATGATGCTCAACAGACAGCTCGGAGAGTATTCCACGCAGGGGTGTGGGGGGGGGGGGGGGTTTACGTCGCGGTTG